GGTTTTCGGAGTTGGAGGTGGGGATGGGGGGGTGGGGGGGGTGGGCGCACCTGATATGACCAGGGCAGGGCAGAGGCTGAGGGGTTTGGGAGGATGCTGGGTGGGCAATACTGTGCCAGGGTGGCCCCCGGCAGCCCTCGGGAAGCCCGTCTCGAGAGATATCCAGGAGCAGATGGCCAAAAAAGAAAGAGGTGACAAGGACAGCAGGGTGGCTGGAGGGGAGTTAGGACAAGCAGGAAACAACTGGTTTCTGGTTCAGCCTCTTTGCAGGGTTGCTTCTAAGAAGCCTGCAGACAGGCCCGTGTCCTAGGAGGGGAGAGGTGGGGCAGGGAGGCTTCCCCGGGGGCGGGGAGGAGGGGCAGAGCCTGGCTTCTGGCAGCTGTCCAAACCCCAGCTGCCAGCTTGCCCAGGTACGGCCTCTGCCCCACTGAGCATATGTCCAAAGGGCAGGCGACACACAGCTTGGGGGCGCAGGCCTCTCAGCAGTCACCGTAAGACACGCGCGCGCACGGACGCACACTCACTCACACATGCGCCCTGACGAGGGAAAACGAGGACCCCAAAGTCAGGGCCTGCTCCCCGTTCTTCCACTGTGTTTTGCTGGGTGCTCACTGTTGCTTCCCCTTTTCATCCTGGGGTGTGCTCGGCCAGCCATACCCCGCCCACCCCCCAAAACCCCAACAACTCTTTTCATAAGCTATTTCTCAAAGAACAAAACAAAACAGAACAGAAACGAGGACCAGAACGGTGGGGGGGCGGGGGGGCGGGGGCCGGGGACACACGACGACGAAAGAGTCTGCGTGAAAAGCAAGCACTCGGGAGGGAAGTATTAGCAGCAAAGTAGTTTGGACTGGGCCCGCTCGGCTCCCGCTCCGTCCTCTCCCCACGCGGCTACCGGCTGTTGAAAATGACCTCCAGCCAGCACGGGCAGCTGCTGATGAACTGGCGGGTGTAGCACTGGCCCCAGCCCTTCACAAAGCTAATCTGCACAGTGAAGCCAGTCCACGGCTGCTGCATGAATTCATGGTCGTTGGGCCGCTGCAGGCTGTACGCTTTCTCGTAGTCAAAAGCCTTGATGGAGAAACCGGGGAACACTTTGTGCACCAACAGCGTCCTGGAGTCCGGGTTGTCCAGTGTGGCTGACTTGATGAAGATGGGGTAACTGCTGCGGTTGTACACCCACACGCCATCCACTTCCCGCGTGAGCTGGATGCCACAGCCGATTTTGCTCCGCACTTTCTGCACCAGCTGACTCTTGTTGTCCGAATTGAGCTGTCCGAGGCAAAAGCCATTCCCCTGAGGTAGATCATAGAAGATGTCCAGGGAGGGCTCCTGGACACAGTAGAGCCTCCCCACTCTCGTCTTCTCCTCCCAGTATGCCACCACGCACCAGTGTGACCGATCCCCAGGCTCCAGAAGAAGTTGGGAATCTACAAAACAAAATGGCAGACGCGGTTGGTGGTGATGGGGATTGGCGTTTTCCTCCTCAAGGATCGAGGCACACACCCGCAGTTCGTTACCACCCTCGAGCTCTCCTAAGACAGAGGCGGTGCTGGTGCTTGGATAGGCTGCCGGCTCTGCAGTCCTACTGTGGCTCAGAAATCTTGACCCAGTGGTGCAAGAACCCACCTTTAAACACGGGGCTCTCTGGGGCACCTCCTTCCTCCACTCCCCCAACCCAGGACGCCATCACGTTGGCCCGTGGGGCCAATGGAAGCCCCATCCCTGCCGAGCCCAGAAGCTAGGGAACCCTTAGGAACTTCACTGGTCCTGTTTTAGGGCAAGGAAAGGGCTTCCAGATGGCCTAGAGTTGCAGTTCGTTAAACTGGACGGACCCCAGAAGGCTAGCTGCTCTAGCCCCTGGTCATCCTCAGGAGAAAAACCAGGACCCAGAAAGCTTGCTGGCTTGGGCCCCACGGACGACACAGCCACACCTAGAACCCAGGTCTCCAGACTCCAGGGTCATGTGCTATGCGGTCTCTGTGTTGCCCAGCGCTTAGGTCAGTGCCTCAAGTCATAAAGGAGCGCCGTCTGATAAAAATGGAAAATGGAGTTGCTTTGGGGCCGAAACACCTTCCTAATAGAAAACCATCTCTCAGTGTGTGTGTCAGCAGCAGCTCTGTACGCAAAGGGTGAATTTGGTCAAAATGTCAAATCACAACACACCGACTGGTGTTAACTCAGACTACCTTGACGAAGCTGCCTTCAGCCCAGACAGAAGATTATGTGTCTGAAATGGGTTGACCTTCCTTGAAGTGCCCTTCTCTGCCTGTACCCCCTCTCTCCCCTCCCTCCCTAGAAGCATGCAGACACCTTGCCCCAGCCCCTTTTCCCCACTACCCCTGCCCCCTCCCCCAGAGGCCCCACCCCAACTTTCTTAGACTTGGTTCTTCCCACAGGCAGACGGGGGGAGGGGGGGGGGGAGAAATCTTGGGAAGGTGACTTTCCTGAACAGGCGCTAGGAGGTCTTTAAAGGGGGGATCACAGGGAGGGAAAGGGGGCCCCAGCGGCTGGCATTCCAACTCCTCCTTAAGCTGGAGCCAGCGGAGCAGGCCTCAGACTGGGAACCATAAATCTCCCCAGCCGGGCCGGGCTGCAGGAACGCTGTGGTTTGTGGGGCAGGGCGGAGACCGGAAGTCTTGTATTTGTTAACAAAAATGGGGAAAGGCAGGCAGCAGAGACCTCCTCCTGCCTTCCCCTGTAGCCCTTACTGCTCACTCACTGGGGGTTTGGGGCCTGAAGGCGGGGGTTGGCTGTGAGACGATTTTTGGTTTGTTTGGGCCGTTTTGATTTTGGAACAACCTAGGGCCAGTGCTGATGGAGTCTATAGCATGGCAGCTAGGGGTGGAGGAGGGCTCAGGGACCCATGTCCTGCTGCCCCAGCAGGCTGGATATACAACTAACCCAAGGCAGCTCAACACATAACTGCTTCCAACCTTTACAGGCATGTTAGGACCTGGGAACCAGTCGGCTCCATTATTTTATTTATTTATTTTTTTTAAAGCAGCAGTCTTGCATGGAGGTGTTCTGTGAATCAGTCCGTGCAAATGCGCACCGTGACCCACGGAGGCAGCCACGAACACACATCCTGAGTGGCTGTCTCCTCCAGACGCCCCAACCGACCTTCCCAAATGCCTACCCAGACAGCCACACAAAATGGGGAAGCTGAGGGCTCACTCCTCTCCTTCAACCCCCACCCCCCTGAAAATCAGCCCCAGAAAACTGGCCTGCCCCCCAAAACGCATGCATCTATAAAGCACAAGTGCATGTGAGAGACATTGGGTGTCCGTGAGTGTGAACACATGTGCGAGTGTTATGTGAGCATGCGTGTGCTTGCGTGCATACACGCTGGAACATATGGAAAAACAAGAGAGGGACAAGGGCTCCAAGCAGAGGTGACTCATCAGGCATTAACTTGTTTCTGCAAAGTATCCATCAACTGCTAATAAATTCGTGAGTGCTGGCAATCTTTGAACTTTCTTGTTGAGGGAGTTCAGCTCTGAAGGCTACACCAAAGACCCATAATATCCATGTAAATAAGAATACTCTGGCGTGCAAGTTTGCTGGGAAGGAGAAAGCCCTCTTCTGGAAGGTACGGGGCGAACCGTTTTGGGGAGGAGGGAGTTTTGAAATGTAGGAAGCTCTCGCTTATTATTATATCCCAACTCAGGACGACAAATGTGGTCTGGGAAGAAGACTGGGGGAGTCACTGGGAGGGAGGTGCAGGAGACCCTCCGGGAGCCTCCCGATACTTTGTTTCATGGATCTTGGCCCCCCCTGAAACCTGGCACCGGCTAGCAGGGAAAAAAGAGGGGCAGGGGGAGGAGGTGCAGGGTGGGGTGGGGTGGGGGCCTGGGATCAAGTTGCCTATGCCAGGCCCACCAGTAAAGGGTGGGGGGGCCCTGTCTGCCCAGCAGCCTCCGGAGGTGGGGGAAGCCGGGCTGGACTGGGCTGGACTGGCCCAGAGCCCTGGGGGTGGGGGGTAGGGGGAGGAGAGGGGGAGGGGGGAAGTGTTCTGGCGGGTTTCTCTTTCATCTGTACAGCCCGCCAGTCCACCCAGCAATTTGCTGCCAGACATCCCTGGAAAAAGCCTTTTTCTGTTGAGGTTAATGGCCCAGCCCAGATAAACAGAGGGGAATGGGTGTCCCTGTGTGTGAACAAGGCCCCCGAAAGCCCACTAGGACCCTCGCCGGCTCCTCCCCTGCCCTGACCCTCCAGCCTGCCCGGCTGTCACCCCCCAGCCTCCCAGCACCCTGATGCCCCTTTCTCCTCACTGCTCTTGGGCTATCTCTGGGCACAAAAACACGCTCTCCAGCGAAACCGTCACCCCCACGAAGGCCCCTTGTAACACATCATACTTCTGGGGGCCCGTGACAACAGTCCATGTTGCCAAGTCAGAGACCTGCCCCCAAGATCTGCACCATGTGGGCCCATTTCTGGGAAACGTTCAGCATCCTCTTCAGAGAAGCACGTTCCCCTGAATTGGGCCCACAGCCCACAAGCATCTCCCCACAAAGGTCTGTGCAGACGTTTCGCCCCCAGAGGGGCTTCCCAGGCCTCACGGCGAGGGTCTGGGAGGCTCTCACATAGAGGAGTCCCCCTCATTCCCAAGGACTAAGGAAGAGTCTCAGAAGCCCAACTTGGCTTCTCCTCACGGTCGCTGATACTTAACCTCCAAAAGCAAGACTCGCAGGCCCTTGTTAACTTCCCTCAGCTTTACAACCCTTTTCCGGTATTTTCAGCAACTTCTCTCCCTCCTCAGAAAACTATACAGGGGCTTGTTTTAAAACTGTATTTGTGCATTTTTAAAGCATCCAAAAAGAAAAGCTGTGTTGTAAAAGCCAACTAATCAGATGCCTGCTCACAATTTTTTCTTTTTATTACAGTTTAGGGAATTTTTGGAGCAACCCCAGAAAAATGCTGAATCCGCCTAAAATTCCTTTGAGTAGCTCCCTTCCTCATTTTAAAGCATAAAAAATCTACCCTTAGAAAGGGGTGGGTGGTATGAGAAGGAAAGATTTTGCTTGTGTTTGCACTTGCATTAGGGAAGACCACTTAACAAGGAGCTCCCTGCCTCTTACAAAGAGTTATTTAATTACCCTGGTCATGAATGAACAGACCTGACCCTTCTAGAAGACTGGAGGCTCATGAATGACTCTCACGCCCAAGGTTCTCAATGGCACAGGGTGACCAGAGCTCAGGATTTTAAATTAAAAAAAAAAAAATTATGTTTATTTTTGAGAGCATGGGCGGGGGAGGGGCAGAGAGAGAGGGAGACACAGAATCCGAAGCAGGCTCCAGGCTCTGAGCCATCTGCACAGAGCCCGATGAGGGGCTCGAACACGAGCTATGAGATCATGACCTGAGCTGAAATTGGATCCTTAACCAACTGAGCCCCGCAGGTGCCCCAAGGGCCCTGACTCTTGATTTCTGTGTTCAGGTCTCATGGTTGATGAGTTTATTTCCATTGGGCCTCTTCTCTGCACTGATAGTTCGGAAACTGCTTGGGATTTTCTCTCTCCCTCTCTCTCTCTCTGCCACTCCCCTGCTCACGCTCTTTCTCTCAAAATAAAAACATAAAACTTATAAAAATAATAAATAAAAGGAAAATCTTTTTTAAAAATAAACTTTAAAAAATTAAAAACAAAAATTTTTTAAGAAGATCTCTGGCCTGGTGGCTCATCTAGGGCTTGCTCAGCCTGCTGAGTCAGCCTGGCTTCAGCTCAGGTCATGATCTCAAGGGGTTCTGCGGGTTCGAGCTCAAGCGTGGGTGGGGCCTCCCAGCTGATAGCTCAGAGCCCGGAGCCTGCTTTGGATTCTGGGTCTCCCTTGCTCTCTGCCCCTCCCCCGCTCATGCTCTGTCTCTTTCAAAAGTAAGTAAACATTTAAAAAAATGTTTTTCAAGGACATCTCTCTGCCAAAATCCTACCGTGGGCAAAGGCCTGTGTGCCCCCTCCCCAGTGGTCCCGCAGGGCCAGAAGGCTGAAGATGGAGAAGCCAGGGGAGACAGGGCAGAAGTGGCTGCCTGACACAGGTGGGTGAGGGCAAGCAAAGGGCACAAAGGGAGACAGAGAAGTTAAACCTGGCGATCCTGGAACGCAAACACCGCCACGCCTCGCCTGCTGTAGGTCCAGGGTCCTCCCTCCTCGGGACTCAGGCGCCACCAAGGGTTGCCTCATCCTGTCCTTCCCCCACCTCAGACATCTCAAAGGTTAACAGCACCTGTCAGCCCTGCTCCCCACCCCGGTCAGGAAACTGGCTGTTCTGAGAGCAAACCAGCCCACTTCAGGGACAAGGGCTGAGACAATGGGGACGTGGGGCCAATCCGCCCCATCTGTCCTCAACCCAAACACTCTCAATTCACGAGGAACCTTGCTGGTCTCTTGTCTGAGAGGCAAATGACCAGAAACCAAAGCAGACGCTTGCTGAG